TGAAATGGAAATGAAGTCAAAAGATAATGCTGATTTCCGTTTGTTTGCTTTTTTTTTTCTCTATCTTCATTATTCAAAATTACTACAATCCTAAACGCATAAATGGAAATTTTTATGCAAAAAAGAAAAATACATATCTTATTTTGAATATATCTCTCCTCTTTAAAATAAAATAAATTGTTTTCCTTCTTCTTCTCTAATGAATCAATATCGATAATGAATCGTAAATTTTTAAATTAAAAATGTATGCTCCAAGAATACTAAATGTACTGAGAACTCTTATAATACTTCTAGATAAAGTTATTAAAGTAATCCCTGTAGGTTTAAAATGTGAAAGACAATGTAGTTGCTGCTACTAGTCACAAAAAAAATTGTTTTATTTGTTCTATTTTGGGACATATTACATTATCATCATTTTGCTTGAAGAAATGCAGTAAGGAAATTTTTCATATATAATCTAAGATCATATATCAACATCTGTCATGGAAGGAGAGATCTGAATTTTCCCTTCCATACTTCAGTATTTATTTTAGATCATGTTTCACAAAAAAAAAAGTTATTCAAAGTCTTAATTATGTCTCTCTCTCTCTTGTATGTAGAGAATATAAGAAGAATTTTTTTCGTAAACTGTAGCTTATTTTAATATTTAATTGTTCTATGAGCAAATTCTGTTATAGTACACTACATTTAGTTAAATCTATTATAATTATATTGTACACATTTCAGTGAAGTATTAATTCTTTCATAGAATATCTATCAAGAATAAATGTAATCATATCAACAATTTATAATTTTTAATCGAGATTTGAATTAGAAAAGTGTGTCGACGCAATCGAATAATACTTTCATATGAGATAGACACTGAAATTAGAGTTACCAAATTAGATTCATTGATGTTTCGAATACATTTCATTCTATAACTTTGCAACTATTTCTCATAATCGAAAGAATATTCTAAAGACAGCAAAACTAACATATGACCAAAATTATACAATGAAGAAGTAAAAGAAAATTTAAGAAATAAGTGAAATTTATAATTATCGACAAGGATATTTACATTTGACTATTAATATTTGCAATAGCATAAATATAAAATTGATGCGAAGTTAAAAAAAACGAGCTCCCGCATTCTATCTGATGATTATTGTTCTAGATTTCAGATATTTGTTAATCTTCAGTAAAAATTTTATCAGTGTTTGTTAGAAATGAACACTGATAAATAAACAATAATTAACATATAATCTTATTCAAAAGCAATTGTTTCCTAAATTAATGTTCTTTTCTTTTCGTCTTTTTCAAGTTTTATAACAATCAAAAAATAATACGAAAAACATACTGTGATTATTTTAGAAATCTTTCTCTCCTAAACACTTAAGAAAACTTGCTTGTGTATTTAATTCATGTTTTTCAAGTAAAATTTTCTCATATTGATAGAATATGACTCATTTTTTTTTAAACAAATATACTTAATATAAAATTAAAATAAAAGAACTGTTTTATTAAATTAGTATTTTCAAGCAGAGAATATATCTAATTGTATTGATTTTTAATTTTATCACCAATTTCTTCTACGATCATTTCTTATAGATTCAATGAGTGAAAAAAAAAAGAATCATATAGATCAATATTTTCAACTTCATAATTTGTTATCACTTATGAAATTTTTACAAAAGGACATACGATAATTAGTATATTCACGTAATAATTATTAAAGTGTATTTTATGTTTTTTTATTTTTCATGAAAATATTTTCTAACAATTTTAAAATGTTCTCTAAGAAAGTTGTAATTAAAAAAATAAAAAAATAAAGATTATCACTGATAAGTTCACAAAAGAATGAATATTTAGACATTTCATTCATGCTTAAACTCTAACATGATTATTTTCTATTTGCATTTTACAATTTGTATTGCTGTTATGCCAAAAAAAAAAGAATCCATCTTGATTAGTAACCGCATTAACTCAAAGTCTTATTATATGATTAATATTCGTGAATCGAAATGAGCTTATCTTATTCAATCAATCAAAGAAAAACAGATTTGTTTTTACAGTAATAGAGGAAAAAAAATAGAGCATTTATAGACTTTGCTCTATTTCTTAAATAAAAGAATTTTATTCCATTAAAAACAGTAGCAAAAAAAAAATACTCAAACATGAATGTATAAAGAGTTTAATATTATTTTTGAAATCTTTTTCTTTTTTTTTTTCAAACTCAATATTTCAATGACTCATTGAATTGAATGATCGTTTCACTTCTTTATTCATATAATCATAGACTAATAAATATAGAACACAGCACGTCATATCAGTGTTATAATTTAAATAATGTATTTAATCAATATCAGTATCAACATACATACTTTTATAATGAGATAGTAAGCGTATAATACATTGATTCAAAAGTATTAATAGCTATTGTTGCTATTGCAATAGCTCTAGTACTTGCTCTTACTGATACAGATCTTTTTTTGCAACAACTAGTAACATCTGCTCAATGTTCAAATCAATCTGATACATATGCTTATCATTTGATGTATTTGATCTCATTATTTCAGTTATATGCAATGCTCGTTATTGTATCGTATAGATGTTAGATTAACATGATATTCACTATAGTCAAGATGTAAACTTGAAAAATTTATCATTTTTTTCATATTTTAATAAGAAATAAACGTTTTTATTATGAAGAAGATGAATATATACAAAAGAATGTACTACTTAAAATGTTACATTTATATTGCAAAATAATAAAAATGAAATTATTTATAAGTAATTCTGAAAAAAAAACATCATGACAAATGATAATCATAATTTTACATCAAAGATATATCTGCCATGGTTGAATGATTGCGTTATTCGGCAAATATTCTCAAGGTACTATGTTCAAACCTCGACAATTTACTAATTGCTGTTTATTTCGAATCACCCGTCCATGTTGTGACATCTACCACCTACTCATGTAGTTTGCTAGTGTGCATAGAAGAAGTGTGAGTTGAGAAATTTGATTGTTTCTTTTTTTGTTAATGCAAAGAAATCAAAAGTATAATACGGATTGATATATTTGATCATCACTTTTCGAGGTTGTTTGTATCGCGTATCTAAAAAATAAAAGTGTATATTTATTTGACATGAATATAATTACCATCATATTAACAATATACGTCATATATAATTCGATTTATTCTATTAGGTTTGAAATATTTCTTGAAACAATTTCAAATAAAATACAATGTAAATAGTATAACCTATATCGATATTTTGAGAAATATTTCAGATACTACACTGTCTGTCTATTCTTGCTTCTCAATGTCTAGTGCTCGTTTTTTTTTTTTATTACTGGAAAACCTTTCGTAATATAGGTTATTCTTGATAACGTATTGATATTAATGTCATTCAAAATACACGATTCAATGACAATATTTTCTATCATATCACAATAGATGTATTGAATGAAAATGTATATCAAATCCAAATACGAAATTTAATTCGTCTGCTCATTATTCACATTCGTTAACTGTATCTACATGTCGACAGACACATATAAACGATAACAAAACTGATAATTTGTCATGTATATCATTGATTTCAAGATCATGTGCACTCATAAAAATGACAATAGTTTATTATGCTTGGATCAAAATCATGATAAAAAAAAGAAAATGATGTATCATATAGAAAATAATTGATCGAATATTACAACTCGACTTATGTACAATAGATGAAGGTCTCGTGTTTTTTTTTTGCACTGTTCATCATGGTCGTGTGATCTTATAATCTGTTATATGATTTGCAATCGATTCTTTTTATTTTGTAGTTAATTTTGTATGAGAAAAAATTGTCACTTTTTAACTTGAATATATTTTGATTAACTGAATTATTTTTTTGTTTTAACAAGTTCATTGTAATTGTCCATATCATATGCTTCTTTCTTTCAAATGTGTAAAGTACATATCTATTTCTTTTTTCTAAATAAAAATATGTGATTTGGTTGATGATAAAAGTGTTCAACCATGAACCAGACATGCTTTTTCATACATAAGTGTACACATCAGTATCGAAAGAAAAACGTCATCTATAATTGTTAACCTCGGTAAGAATTTGACCGCACACAGCGAACTTTCACCGCATAAATGTATGCGATCATTGAACCGTAACTATTTAAATGATATAGTTAAAATATAAAAGAAAGAAAAAAGAAAAGAAAAGAAAGATAAAACTCAATAGACAATAATAAATAATGATTTACTTTAATAATTTTAGTTTCATAAAATCTTTTCTAAAAAATTTTTAACGACAAAATGTATCTTTTTTTTTTTTCGCCAAGATATATATATATATAAAAGAAAATTGATAATAATGATAAATAACTATCTCACGTATGCTCATTGCTGTCTTCTTTCTTATTAAAAGTACAATATGGGAGAAAAAAAACGAGAAAGAGAGAGAGAGAGATACGCTTATGTTTTTCGAATAACTAAAATGTACGACGATGATATATAGTTTGTCTCCTATGAACATATACTTTACTCATTACATACTTGCGCATATAGGGTTTTTTTCTCTCTCTCTCTCTCTCTCTCTCTTTCTTTCTCTTATTCTAATAGTAACAATCTTTTTCTTTTTCAATCACTTTGAAGTAAAAAAAAAAACCATTTAACACTTATAAAAAGAAAATTGAACACATTAATAGGTAAGTGAAGATCTTGATACTATTTATGAACACATTTTTATATCAAGATTTCATTAGAATTATTCAAGGTTATTTTAATGAATAGTTGATATATGTCTTTCTAATTATTCATTATATATTAATGACTGTTCAACATACACACAAAAGAAAAATGAAAAGTATCGAAGAATCTTTTTTTTTTTTATTTTTCTTGTCTCATATAATCTGAATAACCGTAGAAAAACGATTAATTTTTTCGATATTTATATTTTAAATATATATATTCTTATTTTAGATTTAAACTTTTGTTCTTTTTTTCTTAATTTATATCATGTTTGGAACGGGTGCATTTAATCAAATTCCAATGGGTTTTCAATATCCTGGACAACAACAACAACCACCACCAACATCCATCTATCCATCACAATATAATGGATATAATCGACAAATGCCATTACCTTATCAACAAACTCCAATGTCACGTGGACAATCATTGCCACGTGGACAATCATTACCAGCATCGATTAGACAAAATCAACCATCAAATAGACAGTTTCCGCCATCGACTAGATTAAATCCACCATCTAATGGTGTTTATGTTTCAAAACCATCTCGACAATATGAACAATATCCTGTTGCAGTTCCAGTTCATCAGCATGAATATCGTAATAATTATGCACCACCACCACCATCAAGTAAGTCTTTTATTTTTCTAATTTCTTATCTTAAATAAAAATTGCTTATTTACAATTTATTTAATCCTCTATTCATGATAGAATTCAAAAGAAGATTAGCGCCTTTGAATCATCTTAGTATTCGAAAAGAATATATAGATCATCGAAAAACGATTTGTTTGAGATGCGTATCTAGCAGAACGAAACACTAGAAAAACATGATGCTATTTCGATATCTTCCCTTCTCTCTATAGTATGCATTTTTTATGTATGACAGACGCGTATTTGACCTCTCAGCTTAGAAACGGATTGCTTTGTTCAAAAATCATTGGATATGATGCAGAAAACTATTTTTTTTTACTTCGAAACTATTCTGTGTTGTATATCATTCGATACAGTTTAATGCATTGATTTTGTATATACTACTGTTGTTGATTATATATTCTTTTGTTTGAAAGACAGAAAAACCTATGTGCTTTGCAATAGTTTCAAGAGAGGATATAGGTAAATTACTCATTTTACGGTATTAGCCGATCGAATGATACTCCTCAAAAGTTAAATAAATTTTCAATTTCTTTGATGGCATTATAAGAAAGTGATTTATACTATTAGATAGATTATACTTGGAAGTATATTTCTTTATATTTAAATCTTGAAAAAATGGAATCTTCATTTTTAGCCAAATGATTGTATCTCCCCGTTGTGAAACTTACGTATATGTTCAACAGAGATGTACGTGAGTGAAAGTTCAAATCGAGATTTGGGTGACCTTTTTTCTCTCTCCTTCACTCTAGACCTTAGTTATACAGATTAAAGATATTAAACGACATTGATAATAAGGCTTAGAAGGTTCTATTTTTGTGAATTTATTTAACCAATACTAAATTTGATTAAAAGAAACCATATGAGTTCCGAATTTTAATCCTAAATGAGTTACACTAACAAATTTTTTTTCAATAAAATTTAATTTATTGTTATATGTAAGATAAACATCATCATAAAAATCGAAATATTACTTCGAATGGTGTAATTGATCAATGTTTACCTCCAGATCAAGAAAAATCTCATAAAAAACATCCAAAAGAACCTAGTCAAAATCAATCACCTATATTAGAAAATCAGTCAAAACAAGATGAAATAATTCCTAATCAAGAAGAACAATATCAATCAATGGAAAATACAACTCATGATAGTAAATCTCAAGATAATACAAATGATATAGATGAACAACAAAATAATAATTCTGAAGAAAAAAAAAATCGTAAATCACGTTCAAAAAAAAAACATCAACATGATCATTTAGAACATAATAATGGTGATAATACTCATATTCAACAACAAACAAATTTCTTAGGCGAATTACCACCACATTTAAAAGTAAATATTAATTTTAATATCAAAAAAGAAAAAAAGTTTTTCTTTTTGTAAATCTTTATTTAGGTTCATCAACAACCACTTTATAATAGTTATAATCAAGTTTATGAAGAATCTATTCTACGTGGTGATCTTTATCAAAAACAAGCTAAACGTTCAACACGTTTACCACCTGAAGCTAAACAAAAATTATTACCACATGAAGATGATAAAAAAAATCCATATCCATTAGTTGGATATTTTCCACAATCTCATATTGATATTCAACCATTATTAAATCCTTATCAATCATATAATGTTCGATCGAATTTTTATGGTCAAACAGTTCCTTATAATTCACGTCAAGCATGGACAAATATGAATGGTATGAATATATCCGATGAACAAAAAATTGATAGTTTACGTAATCATATACATACATTAGAACATGAATTACATAGATTACAAAAAAAATTATATAAAGCAACATTACAATATAATGAAACATCAAATAAACAAAATGATAATAATCATAAACAACGACGATCAAAACGTGATATTATTCCATCACCAAGAGAAACACCTGTTATTGTTGAATTAAATAATATACATAATCAAAATGGTCATGAACCATCATCATTATCAAAAAAAAAACGAAATCAAATTGAAAATGATCAAAATTTACAACAAGAACAAAATTTTATTCAACAACCAAATGAAATATTTGAACAAAATATAACATTAATCAATAATTCTGTACGTAATCAAAGTCCAAATAAAAAAGAAATTGATTCTCATGAAAGGTAAAAAAAGAAAAGAAAAACACGAACTATTCAAAAGTTTATCATTTTATTTTGTTCTAGTACAAATTCAAATGATAATCCAATATTAGAAAATGAAGGTAAAATTTCATCAATAATTAAAAATTCACGTGAAGAAACAGCTGCACGATTAGCACATGCAGCTGCAGCACATGTTAATGCTCGTCAACAATATCCACCACCTCCACCACCTAAACAACAAAATGGTATTTTACCAAAACAAGAACAACAACAAATTCGTGGTCAAGTTCAATTTTTACCTGTTAATGGTACTATTCATCAGTTAAATGATTCACAACAACGTAATATGACAAATATAACTTATAATCCATCAAATAATAATGAAATATTAAATAATAAGAATAATAATGAAGCATATCCACATATGCGTACAGTTGAAAAAATTCTTGATGCATTTGAACGTGTTTATATGAAAGATCGAACATCAGCAATAACTCCAGTAAAAGTTAAATATATACCTGAACTACATGAGTCCAATTGGCCTGCTCAACGAAATAAAAATAATAATAATCAATATAGATCAGAAAGTCAAATTAGTCAAAGTTCATCATCATCAACTTGGTCAAATACATCAGATGAATTATCTTCAGGAGATCTTCAACAAATACAAGTAATTAACAGAAATGGAATGAAAAGCTTTCGTTATCCTTGATATTTCCGATTCTCTAGTAATTTTGAGTAAAAACCGCATTTTAAAATACGATTTGCCTTTCTGTGATCAAGAATGCAATAAAAATAAGACGAATTTCGTTGCTTCTCCCTCTTTATGTTCACTACTTTTCATATTCCGAGAATGAAAGCAATTTCTGTAAGAATTTTTATCTTTTGCCACCTTTAAAAAGTACCGGTAGCTTTGATTTCGAGATCAGGATTAACACTTCTTTTCACTGAAAACAATATCTTATATGGTCGTGTAAAACTTGCGTCGGATGTCATATTGTTGCCACTCATGTGTTCTAAATATAGATTTGATTTCTACTAGACTATCATGACTGAGTAACGACGATGTTGACCATGTATCGAATAGGTATTGCCTTCAAACCTCAGTACCATCAGTCATAGAATGTCTCTAGACCAGTTGAATTTTTGTATCAGATCGCTCATCCGATAGTCTGTTAACTGAAAGCGGATATTCTGACATTCTTCTTTCCGAATCCTATCAAAATCGTTTTCTTTTCGTTTTAGCCATGTTCAAAGAACAATTAACAAATATTCATCATCCAATTGACCGCGAGAATGGAAGTATATACGTAGGATATTCAAAAAATTTTCGAATTGATTTTATTAAAAAATAATATGAATTGCTAATATATTAGTATTAATATTTGTGCATAGGTTCATCTAATCTTCTATCTATAGATATCATAAGTTTTACTGTATTCAAAAAGAAAATTTCTTGTTTTGTGAAAGATTATGTTTCATTCAATATTTATGATATGTACATTGTATGGTATTTGATATGATATTTAAAAAACATAATCAATAGTCTATTTTTCTTCCTTTGTTAAATAGACAAACTCATTTGAAATTCATAGTACATGAGAAAATGTTATTACAATAACTTGTCATTATACATTAGTAGATATGAAGTAGCCATTGACCCAAACAAAAATCAAATATCTATGAAAGGAAGATTGTATGAACTATGCACACAGATATTAAGATGTATTCAATACTATATCTTCTTATATTTGATTAATATCAATTTCGAAAACTTTTTAAATATTCTATGTATATTGCTTTGCCGTTATACTAATGTAGAGACAAACTGTTTGCTCTGAAAAACAAAAATCATCGTAAAATAAGTGCATTCTTCTTTCAATCTTATTTATTTATTGTTTCTTTATTTGATCTATTGTATAAAATAATAAAGTTAGTTTTTTTTTCTTTTCTTTTCTTTATTCTTCATAGTTTTTTCTCTTTTTTTTTTTCGTCAATAGTTTTAAAATTCATTTTTGTCTTTCTATTTAATCTCGTCTTTTTCTATTATTTGTAAACTAGTATAAGTTCTTGAAATAGACTTTCATTTTATGTATTTAATCAATTAATTTATTATTTAGCTTATGATAATGATTGTTAGAAAAAAAAAAACCAAAAAAAAAAAATTTCAAATAGTCCTTGAAAATATAATCTAAAGATGATTTCGTCGTTGTTTAATTGATTCCATAATTGCTTCTACTGCAGATTGACGGCGACCATGTTTATTTAAATTATGATGACGAGGTACAAAATTGTTTCGTGATTTGACAAAAGGATCATGACGAGCTTTTGCAGGTTTGTTTTTAATAACGTTGCTATTGGTATAACCCATTGAAGCAAATAAAACCAAACAAGAGAAGAGTACGGCAAGAATTGTTGTAAATTTCATTTCGATATTTTCTCTCTGTCTGATGGTATGAATGTATTTAGTTTTGACGAATTATCGACTTTTATATAGTAGAAGAAAAAGTAATATAAAATAGTCTTGTCTTATCATTATGACTTTTGAAGGTCATCATAAAAGAAATTAAAGTTTCTCAAGTGATTTTGTCTTATAGAGGATAATCTTGTTTCAAGTAAGTAATTTGAATGTTTATAGCTTAGATTTTATTTGAGAATAAATTGTTTTAAAATACATTTTGTCATAAAAATTTCTTTTTTTTTTTATGAATGCAATTGGTAGCATTTTAAAAAAACAAAAACCATGATAATCTGATATTTAATATATTCAACTTCTGTTATAAATGATATATAATCTATATGTTTAGTAAGCGGATATTAAAATCGATTTTTCTTTTTCAAAATTTATTACATTTAGTTATAAACTATCAGATTTATTTATTAATAGCATTCCATACATTTGAAAGTGTACCACCGAACGAGAATCATAGTTTTCAAAAGTCAGTCTTCATGAGCAGTTGATCGGCGATCTCAAATGGTAGTTATTCTTTTATTCTTAGTACAATATCTGTTCTCAGCGGAATTCATTTGATTAGATGAAGAAATGTATAACGAGATTTATAGAAAAATATTTTATGTAGTAATTTGTAAATATAATTTTATCGTAGTTAACTGTTGACTATTTGTTTTGTTTGAATACACAAGATTATCGTACGATAGTATTTGTATAACTGATGTGCCTTAAGCAAAATGTCTGTTTCTTCATCCTATATGATACACACAGTTACAAGTTTACTCTTCAAATTTTCACGATATAAATGGCTAAATATGAAACTATCGAAGGAATTATTCAGATTTGTTATATCAATGAATAATACTTGAAAATATAATTTATAACTTCTATATTAATGATTAATCTTTCATAAATTGTATTTAATTATTAGAGAAAATTGATAAAAATATTGAAGTTAAATTTTTATTGATTAGAGATTAAAACTATAAGAATAATGGCGATTATCATAAATTAATATAAAAATAACTAGTTATTTATATAAAAAGATAATAGAGCTTATTGCAACTTTCACACACAGTTTCTTTTTTTTTCTTGATAAATAAGATGGAACGATGACATTATGATGATTCCATTCTTTACTCTGTTTTCTTTCAATCTCAGGCTTAATGATTATCAAGAAGACTTGCAAGTAATGACAAACTGATGTATAAGATCTTTTCCCATCGATCACTCCCTTAGTACAAAAATATAGCATCGACTAGAGCAAGAACTAAAAACATCAACGTAATTAAATAGTCGCATTCAGTTTCTGCAGATCGCTCGACAGAATCTCACATTGATTTGAAGTTGCTTCAATCGACTGCTTAAATAATAATAATAATAAGAAAAACTTTCACAATGAATATTAACATTGCTGTAGCTTTTTTTTCGTTGTTTTTTAGCGTTTCAAAAAATAAGAAGTCTTATCTATGAATGACTCTCGTTGTTGTTTTTATATATGAAATATTTTGATTAACATGAGACTGAATGTAAAAAAGAACGATTTATATTTCAAAATGCCAATGCATGATCATCTCTATGATAATGATTCGAAGTGAATTAAAAAAATTTAATACAATAGTTCCGAAAGCTATTTTTTTCTAAAATGATCTACAAGTTTTAAAATAACACATGAACTTTGAAAAGAACTTTATCAATTAAAATATTTTGAACCTTGAAATAGAATTCAGATTTTTCTTTATTGCTATACACTTGAAAGACTATGTAATAAGATTTCAAATGAATATATTAGTTTGAAACACTCGAAAATAGATCGAACTTTGTTATACAACTTTGAACATTTGAAGCTTGATCAAAATAAAAACGATAGTTTTTGAATTTTTATTGATTCTAAACACAGAGAAAATAATAAAAGATTTATGTAATGTTTGTCAGTTTTATATGCAGTCAACTCGATATTGAATGAGAATAGACAATAAAGAACAAATATTGTTCTCATCAAGGTTACACCATAATAAAAAAAAAAAACTACATTTATTTTCTAGTCAAAATTGTATTACAATTGTGATATAAAATCGAATGAATTGATTTGTTCTTCAAAAACTTTGTTCTATTCATTTTTCTGTCCGATTTCGTCACATTTATGCAGAAAAGTGTTTGAAAAATTGAATTTTAAGCGTCTATAGACTAAATATTTTTCACCCAGATTTTTTTCGTGTCAAATTAGATTTAGTTTTTCTTAGAAAAATTTACTATGATTGGCTGTCTAATTTATTAGAAGAGATGGTTGGCATTCCTTCTTTTTTTTTCTTCTCTGATTTATTTCAAAACGAAATATATTTTTTCTTATTCAATTGGTACTATTTGTCATATGAGCCATTCCACGTAAGGCACGACCGATTCTCAATAGGGACGCTCAATCGAAGTTCGCTGATTTGGCTCGTTGTTATATATGTGATGGAGCAAAGTGTTTGAAGCATTTTGACGCAAGCCGATTGAAAAAATATTGAGCCGTTCGTTTTTTATAGCCATTTTACTGAAGGCACTATTAAATCGGTGAAAAACGCATTTTCACGAGAAGCGATTTTCAGCACCCTAAAACTTCAAGAAAAGAGCAACTGATTAAGGTAAAATTTTTTTGTCTATAAACAACTAATCAAGTTGTACGTATGCCAGAAATTTCAGTTCAATTAGTTGAAGCCTTGGTATTTTATGGATTCCACAATTTGAGGAAAAATCAATTTTTCAAGAAACTTTTGCTGTTTATATCTCGTGATTAGCAAATGATAGAGAGCTGAAATTTCGAACATAAGTACATCTTGTTACTACCTAACTACCATATAAATTTCAGCTTGCTAGAGTAAAGTAATCGTCCACAATACCTGGAGCTAAAAGGAATTTTTTCGTCAAAATGTCGATTTTTTACCTCGATTTTCTCCTAAAAGAAACCCTAGTTTTTTAATCGGTGTATGTGTGATTAAAGACCATACTTTGGTCTACAGCCGACTATAAAAATCAACGTGGGACACACATGGGCTGTGGAGAAATCAATCAATCTTTTTTGAAAAAATGAATCCTTTTTGTCAAAATGCCGCTTTTTGAGCTCGATTTTCTCTCAAAATATACTTCAGATTTTTTGTTCATCCATCCAGTGTGAAAGCCCACATCTTGTTTTACAAGCTCCTTTGAAAATCAACTTGGGGCGTGCCTCGGTTGTGATGATATTAAGCGATGTTTATTGGAAAAAATAAACTTTTGAA